ATGTAATTGAACCCACAGGGGACGGGGACGGCTCTCTGTTCACGTCCGTCCAAGACGTTCCTGCACACTAGGTGTGTACATGTGTGCCCATGATCCGGGCTGGCTGAGGATGGGCGTGGGTCATGGTGAGAAGACCTTGCTGGGGTGCACCTCTCTCTCTCTCTCAGAAGAAAGAAATGTAAAAATCTTGAGGAGTTGGTCCTGAGCTTACATAAGCTGCCTGACAGAGCCGAGCCCAGACTGCCCTCTGCGACAAAGCAGGCGTCTCTGAGGGCTACATCTCTGAGAGATGCATGATGGGTTACATTCACATGCAGCTCCCTGGGCTGGCTAAGAACCTGGGGTAGGAGTGCTGGGGAGGGGACATGGGACATGCCCCTCTCTTGCCCATCTTGAGCCCAGGGGGCTTGGGGGCGCTGGGCTCCCACCCCTCCTGTGAAAGCAGCTTCTTTTTAATTTGTTACCCATCAGGGTCGTGGAAACAACTGAGAGTGGGAGGGAAAATACTCCCCTTGAAATAAATGTTTCAAACTGATGCTCAGAGCCCTGCTCCATCATGGGGTCAGACCTGTGTTCCCCCAGGCCAGGCCCAGCATCAGGGGGCTCACCTCCTGGCAGATGGTATAAAGACAAGGCCACGCCCTTTTAAAAAATGTTTATGAGACCAGCAGATGGTGTAGCGGTTGTGGCTTGAAACTCACACCGAGTGTGTGTGCGTGTATGCCCAAGATCCTAGGAGGAGAAGGGATTTCAGTGTGACCGTCCCCCCAGTGGGTAATTTCTCACTTTCCCTCTCACCGTCTCTGTCTCTCTCCAGGGAATACACATACCCTAAGGCACACACACACACACACACACACACACACACACACGCTAAAATTAAAACAAAGTTTATTTCTTTCTTCCATGAGGAGATAGAGAGAGACAGCACCCCCAGCAAGGTCTTGACACCATGACCCCCCAACAGCCTCAGTCAGCCTCTGATGACGGGCATAGACGTACCCAGCAAATTCGGGGAGATACAAACCCGGAACCTTCCCGTGTGGATTGGCCTCGCAGATTAACACGTTTTACTGCTGTACCACCATCCTGCTGTGAGGCTACAACCTTTTGGGGGGCCCAGGTGGACTCTAACTTAAAACCGGAGGCCTCCCCAGGCCCTCACTTGTTTTAAAGAGTAGGGACCCCAGGGGAAGGGACCTACCCAGAAGCTTGTGGCAGCCAAAAAAGATGCAGTCCCAAGGGGTCCCTGTCCCCTGTTGCCCCATCCCACTACTTGGGAGGAAGGAGCCAGTGACTTTGTCTTTAGTTTGGAAGACTCTGCTGCTGCCAGGACCAGCTGATGGCCTAATGGTTCTGTTGCTGGACTCTCACATGGCCAACCGCGGCTTGACTTGAAACCAGCGACTTGAAACTCACACTGGGCATGTGTGCATGTGTGGCCAAAATTCCAAGAGGAGAGTGCAGAAAAAGGGATTGCAGCATGGCCATCCCCCTTGGGGGTTGATGGGGTGGTTTCTCACTTTGCATCTCTCTGTGTCTCTCCTGCAAGCACATACTTCCTATAGCAAAAATCTCTCTAAAAAAGAAAAAAATAATAAAATAAAATGAAACTCTGCTACTGTTACCCTCTGAAAGCCCAGTGGCCAGGGAGACTTGCCCCTTCTTGCCGAATTTTGGGGACTCCTGAGCCCTGACCAGCAGGTGCTGCAGTAGGACAAGGCACTCCCCAAGTCCAAAGTGTTAGGTGCTCCCTCACAGACAGTTGGGGTCTTGAAACCCCCAGAAGAGTCCAGCAGCCCCCTCTCATGGTCTGGAGGCTCCCAGTCAGCCAGCTTTCCTTCATGGCCCCTGGACCTTGACCTTGGGCTCGGAGACCTGTTAAGACTTTTTCTCGGTGACACAGAGAGCAATGGTGATACAGACTCACACATCCAAGAGGGTCAGGAGTGGAACGCTCATCTCCCTCTGCTGCTCCTGGTGTCGTCTTTCAGGCCCAGGCGAGGTGGGCTGCCAGCTCTGTGGGACCCTGGAGATGTTTATGACTTCTTTCTGGATGAGGACAAAAGGGAAAGA